AGGTTTTTTTTAGCTGTCTTTGTGAACAATTCAATTATGTCACAGCTCGATCTTTTTACACCTGAAAGCGAAAACAAGGAAAATATCAGGTTGGCAGTTCCACAGTCTATACTGAAAGCAAAACATTTTCTTAGAGTAATGAGACATGCATATCCATCCGAGTTGTTTAGGGAGTAGAGACAACACGATGAGAAAAGCAGCTGGTACTAGCATGCATTATTTTTTATGTTAATGTCATTTTTCATGCCGACATTATATTGATCTGGTGCACTATTTCACCCCAAATTCGGCTCCTGCCTTTCGGGGAAAAAAAAAACTTAATTAGCTGGTGTCTCTTCTCCAGTTGTACTCCCTCCGTTTCAAAATGTTTGACACCGTTAACTTTTTAGCACATGTTTGACTGTTCGTCTTATTCAAAATATTTTATGAAATATGTAAAATTATATGTCTACATAAAAATATATTTAACAATGAATCAAATGATAGGAAAAGAATTAATAATTATTTAAATTTTTTGAATAAGACGAACGGTCAAATATGTTTAAAAAAGTCAACGGCGACAAATAATTTGAAATGGAGGGAGTATATTTTTTTAATTTATTTAAGACTTAGTCATATCGATTCGTGCGTATGCATGGAGGAAACAAAGTAGGGGTCTTAAAAAGAGGTTGGTAAGTTCGACGACCTGAAACAGCAGTCGTTGGCGAAAAGGTCATGATACCGCCAGGGAAAAGATGACCTCTTGGGCGGGCAATTTGGCCTCAATCAGCAACATGGCTAGCTCTATCTACTTATCTAAATTAAGGGCAAGCACACGCATCAACTCGTTTTCATGGACCGGCTGGGAGCATTAGCAATAACTTGACTCCGTTGTTTGTGGAAAGGGACAAGGATATACAGAGCCTACTCAGCCTAGCCAGAGGGCCTGCTGCTGATGGTTGCATTACATCCAAAGGGAATTTGCTTTGTCAACAGGAGCCAAGGAGAGCTAGGCTTGGCTGCTTACAGGTGTAATTATTGCCTCTCGCGTATATTGACTGACACCCTTTTCTCTGATTCTACGAAGGACATATAATCCAGATGCTTTTTTTTGTTATTTTGTCCACATATGAACTTGATTTGTGTTGGAGTTAAAACCCATCCTACACAAGTATTTTTTCAGATAATATAATGGAATATTAATTTCATTAATTAATGAAACCTTGTGGCCTCTTGAACAACATAGGATATCGATGCGCACCAAATAAAACGAAAACGTAATGAACATATCAAGTTGCCATGCAACATCTTGCAGTACTACTACAGGTAGGACGAAAGCGCAAACACTAAAAAGCATCACCAGAACAAAACCTTTATGAAGGGATCGTCGTCGTTTGTATGCCGATCGATATCGTCCAAATTGACTGAAAGTTATTAGTACTAGATTTTCATCTACAAATAACTATAGAACAACACTTTCAACAAGGAAACGGCAAACAAATGTTGATATTGCTGAATTTAGATAAATCATCACACGCATAAGTAGTAGAGTAACATATTTGCTCCACTCTCTCCCATCCTACTGTTGGATCATCGCTATCCAACCTACCATGCCCTTCTTCCTCCTCTTTACTGATGACCCTACCACCTAACAACCCAGCATTTCTACCAGCATTTCTAGTTTTCACCGTTACAAACCTCACTCACCAGCACCATCCTCATCCACTCCCCCGCCCCCCACCCTCCCCACACACGCACGCACACACCCATGCTCCTATATCAAGAGCGTGGCACCCAAAAACTAATCTAGTATGGCCGCCCTCGCTACCCCTGGAACATGACCAAGCTCAAGCCCACTAACCTAGATTAAGATTACGAAAACCATTTCTCCAAACAAATAGAATGCATTTTCAAAGCCAGGTCATCCATTTGCCCCCCTACTTGAACGATTGTAGAAAGAGATTGAGGATCAACGCTCAATGGGAAGGGAGAAGAGGCTGAGATGTTGTGGAGAAGAGGAGATCGAGGTTGAGCTGTTGAAGGAAGTTGTTGTGGTGAGGTGGAGCTTGACAATGATGGTGGCTTGTTGGCTCTGGCAGTGGCAGAGGAGGCTGGTCGTGAGAGGGAGCTGAGGGAAAAACGGAGAAAGATGTAGGAGATTTGAGATGGAGGAGAAGAGATGCCTCTTGTACTTATTACTGGTAGGGCGGCCGGCCATCCTTTTTATTATGGTCACACGATTTTGCAGATGGACTCTCAGGTGATTGTTATGGACAAACATTTAAGAGGACCACCTGTGAAAATATGGGCTATTTTCACATACGGATCATATATTTTTACAATTGAATTTAGATCGCATGATTTCCTTTCTATTATTACAGGTGGATTTTTTTTAATAAACCACTTATATAAATAAAACCCAGTATTCTTAGTTCTACTCATACATACAGTGTGTTTATGCAATTTTTAAAAGTATAATTCAATCATTTGACAAATATATCTCCTACACTTTCTTGTTACATAGCAGTACGCTAAGGGAAAGTCATTTTACCTCGGGATGTACATCCATCCTTTTTATGTGTCATATAATGGTTATAGAGAAACATAATAAATATAATTGTGTGATATATCACTCCAACAACATATAAAGTTTAAAATTCAACATATACAAAATAACAAATATTCTCTTTTTTGTCACCCGGTTGATCGAATTTGATTTTTTTTTTCTGCAGGATAATAGATGACAAATTTATCACTATTATTATTTTTTTAAAAAATATTTTATTACTATTCCATTGACTTTCAGTGTCAGAAACAAACAAGGGGATATAGCCAGGTAAGGGGAAAAAAAGCGTTCCGTACGGTAATGCATGTCGAACCTGCGTGGAGTAAATTAAATTTTGGCCGAACAGGCCAAACACTAGGGCCGAGGCCGAGTTTAGTTTCAATTTTTTTCTTCAAATTTTAACTTTTTTATCACATAAAAATTTTCTACATATAAACTTCTAACTTTTCCGTCACATCGTTTCAATTTTAAACAAACTTTTAATTTTGACGTGAACTATGATTTCTCATCTCCAGACAAGATAGGAAGGCACGGTTTTGATTTAAAAGGAGAGCACCATTCAACGTCCTGCTCGGTTCGAAAAATGAGACAATGGAGTAACTAGTTGATCCTAATAGGAAAAAGTACAAATTACCCTCTCGAATTATTGTGGTCGTCCGAATTGCACCCCTGAACCATACAACCGGACATTCTTCACCCTCAACTATACAAACCGGACGAATTACCCCCCTCAATCTAATCCGTGGTGGTTTTGGTCTACGTGGCAGTCCAGTCAGCAATTTATTTATTAAAAAATAGGTGGGCCCCACCTATTAGTCTCTCTCTTCTATCTCTCACTCTCTCTCTCCTCCTTCAGACGGCGACAACAGCAGAGGCATCGGCGCGCGCGGAGGAGGCCGCGGCACGGCGAGGCGAGGCGGTGGCGGCGGCAGCGGCGGCGGAGGAGGCGCGGCAGCGAGGCGAGCGACGGGAGCGGAGGAGGCGAGGCGGCAGCGGCGAGGCAGGGCGGCGCAGGGGCGGGTGCGTGCGGCGGCTGGGTGCCGAGCGGCGGCGTCTTCTCTCCCCTCTCCCACCCGCGAGGCTTCTCGTC